TAGATGCATATAACTGGGCTTAAACTTTGCTGTATGGGTTCCCCTCAGGAACCATCTAGCAAAGATTTGAAATCTATCCTGGAATGAGATTGAAACATTTTCAGACCAACCACGCCCATCACCGATGTATACTGCATTCACATATGCACACCCACACACCTTCACGCGTCCACAGACACATGGTGCACACTACCCCTCCCCCAGCGTTCATAGGACGAGCTAGGTAGGAGTGAGCCAATGGCATAAGCACTCATTCCTTGGGCATCGCCTACTTTCAATGACCACTTCCCACCACACTCCACCCACTTTCTTTCTGCATGTGTGACTCAGAGCACAGCTTTCTTGCTCCCATCTCAATTCTACCATATTCTCTAACAGCCACATCATGACCTCATAGTCCATCAGGTAATGGTGAAAAATACCAATTCATGCTAATTAAATTCTAAATAACAAATAATATTTAAAGTCATTCCTAGAGCAGAGGAAGCCAAAAACAGGATATGATTTGTCAGTCTATATTTTACAAATTTTTTTCTTCATAAGCCAAAGCATATTTTCATCATTTATTTTTATCATGTTCACAAGTGACTTTTGTGGCCTGTGGACATGACATATATTAAAGGCACATCTTTTTCTTTCCAGTGGAATCATTTTTATGAATAGCAAATAGTTCTTTTCTATAACCTGCAAAGTATAAAATATGCAAGAAAAAAATTGTTATTACTACCTACATATGGTACAGAAATGTCTCTGGCTTATACCCTCTCTTCTGATTCTAACTCTAGGTGCTGTCCAAACTCAGGAAGCTGCTGGGCAGAATGGAGTAAGCTTAGCCAGTGTCTTCTTCTCAGTTCTGAAAAACTAGAATGACTTCATCTGTATCAGTGGGAAGTCTCACTGGACTTCATTGAAGGCCTGCTATCAGCCATGTTACCCACAGAAAATAAGACAGATGATCATGACAGAGAGACTATTAATATCTTCTGAGATTATCCAGAGAGGCAGGGTGTAATGGATGTGGAGTCCAACAGTCCTCGAATTGACCCCTCTTCGAAACTAGCCATGTGACCATGAACAAGTCATTTAAACTCTCCTGGTCTCCAATCCAATTCAACAAACATTTATTAATTGCATACTATATGAAAGGCACCGAACTGGGTACTGGGTACAAAGACATAATGAAAAAAGTCCTTGTCATCAGGGAGTTTACACTTTCCTTAGGGGATACTTCATGTTAAAAAGAAGTATATTTAAGAAAATCTGAGGAGAGATTAAGCAGATCAAGAAAGGCTATCCATAGGAACCAGATACAACCTTCTTTGAAGGAAGTTAGGGGCTCTACAAGGCAGAGATGAAGAGGGAGGGTATGCTTGGCAAGGGGGCAGGAGAGGCAGGACCAAGTTAGGAGAACAGTAAGGAAGCCAGTGTTACCTAGAATATTTGAAGGGAGTGATTAATAGGCAATGATTTGGAACAAGAAGGTTGGAGCCAGACTATAAAGGTCTTTAAATGCCAAGCTGAAAAGTATTTTGGTTAGAGACAAGACCAATTGAGGATTCCTGAGCAGGTGAGTGACACAGATTGGCATTATGCTCTAAGAATATTTCTTGGACAGCTATGGGGGAAATGGATTGGAGGCAAGGGAGGTCAGAAGCCAGGAGTCCAATGAGGAGGCTGCTTCAATAGTCTAGGTGGAAGATAAATGAGGCTCTGAAGTGGCCATGAAAGACACCATAAGGAGAGGCTCCATGAGACTTAACCCCTCTTTGGTGTGGGGAGCAAGGGGAAGGAAAGAGTCAAGGGAGACTCTAGGGCTGAGAACCTGAATGGGTGGAAGGATGGCGGTACCCTCGAGGGAAATAAGATTTGGAGGAGAGAGTAACTAAAAGGAGGGGCTGATCAACAGCACCACATACTGCACAAAGGTCAAGATGGACAAGGATTGGAGAAGAGGTCAACATATTTAACAATTAATGACTCACTAGTACATTTGGAGAAAGTAGTTTCAGTTGAGTAAGAGCGTCAGAAGCTGGGTTACAGGGGCTGAGAAAGGAACAGAAGGAGAAGAAATGTAGGTAATGAGTATAACCTGCTTTATCTAGTAGTTTGGCTCAGAAAGGGAGGACATCGTTGGAGCAAATAAAGGCTTTTTAGGGATGAGGAGGAAGCCCTGAGCAGACAGGGACAGACTGAAATTTATAGGGAGATAATTGAGAAGGAGGGCATTGAAATCAAGGGACTAACCTCAGTGATGACATGAGAGCTACCTCTTTGTCAGAGACTAGAGCAAAGAAGAGAGAATAGGATGTCTGTGGTCCTGAGGCCAGGAGAGTTTGAGAAGAGGGAAGGTCCTCTGCCTGCTGAGAGGGCCAAGGAAGGTAGAAGTATGGGAAGCTGAAAGAAAGAAGAGAAGGTCTGGAATAGCCACTCTGGGGAGTCCAAGTACAGAGAGCATTCTGAAAGGAAGAATAAAAGTAGCAGAGACACCTCGGTAGAGAATAAATGAAAAAGTCTGCTGAGGATTCAGGTAGCTCTGCTACATGACTTCCATGAGCAGGTGTGGAGAAGGTACATGGTGGGAATGACCCAGGCCTGGGGCTGGCAGAACATGAGTTGCAACAGGGCAAGGCAGCAAGGCTTGTGAGCACTGAAGATGTGCAGGTTAAGCTGGCTAACCACAAAGGCCCAGCTAAGGAGGCCTTCATTCCCTCCTCTTATTCATTTGCCTTTTTAATCCCAGTGCTAGGCACAGGGCTGTCACGTAGCAGATGGTGAATAAATGTGGATAATGCCGACGTCACAGGGTTGTTCCAATGACGCTCCAATGACATACATGAAGTAAAATGCTTTACAAACCTCAAAGTGCTATATACATGTTAGCTATTGTTAATATAACACAAACTGTTGATGGGAAAATTTTTTCTTTGAAAATCTATCACTTTCTGGACCATCTGTACTAAGAGAACAAAAGTCAACTCAGAATGTTCTCCTCTCGTCTGATGAGCCAACATTCGGATCTCACCGCGGCCCCTTCTCTGAGCTGCCTTAGTATGAACTACTTCAGAAGGCCCATAAGCAGTGATGGTCTCGCTACCTCCCTCAATCCAGGACAGAAACTCTAGGTCTTTTCTTTACAGTAAAGGGCTGGAGCTTGGAGAGGCCCTTTCAGAACCCCTCTCCTATCCAGCTGAGTTTAGGACCTCCCAAGGCTGGAACAGGAAACTCCCACAAGACAAGTGCTCAATTTCTGCCCTTTCTACAGGGAAATATATGTTTGTTGATATTTGTCAAGTTCCTAAGAAGAACACGTAAAAAAAAAAATGAGCATGGGCACTGAAAAAGTACATCATTCAACCTGTAATCAAACACAAGGTAAATGGAATTCAATGGGTGAAAACCACAGATTGGATCCTTCCCTTAAGTTCCAAACATCATTCTTACCTCATTCTCCCTCAATGTTAAGTGCCCTGACAGCTTTCAAAACTCTCTGTGGCCCCTCCCCCTCTAGCCAGCCTCTTCCACTCACGTCACCTCTATGATCCTCAGATTCCTCCTCCATAAAATGAGGGTGATGGACCACATGGACCCTGATCCCCCCCCAAGCTCTAAAATGCCAACTGTGGGATCCAATGGGATCCATGCGTTCTCTCCCCTAGGGCCGAGGTAAGGAGGAGTGAGGAAGCAGGCCCTCTACAAGGCGCACAAGCTTCGAGAAGGTGACAGCCCTGCAGAGGTGGGTCAAGGCTATGTCGAAGGATTCCGACTCCCCTGGTGAGCAAGTTAGAGAAGGAAACATTAAGAGCTGCCTTCTGTGCTGCAAGACTCAGCTGAATTCAATTCTCTTCCCTCTTAGGGAATGTTCAGCCTTCCTTTCCCCAAGAGCCACAGTGTGCAGTCACCACACCTACACACACACCCGCCCACACACACACTCCAGTCTCCCTCTCTCTCACTCTCTAAAAACATAAATAAAAGAGAGCTCCAGGCATTTTCCCTGGAGGAATTTCAATTCCTTTAAAGATTATCAGTCTTATCCAAGAAACTAAACATTGTCCTGAGACTTCTTCGAAAAGATCGTGATTGAACAAAACGGGGAAGAAATGCTTCACTGATACCAGGAAATGACATGTTCTCTCATTACCTGGGATGAGACAGGCTTAGAGTTAGAGGGACAGTACCTACAGAAAACCCACCAACCTTGGGAGCAGAAGGTATTCTCCCTGGTGCCAGCCTGCCTGCCTGCCTGCCTGTCTCCAATTCACCAATTCCTGAAGCTCTTGCCTGATGTCCACCCAACAAGTCTTCTGAATGCTAGCCACCTCCATGGGCATGGAGCCAGAGGAGTGCCAGGAGACTGTGGAACACACCCACTCCTCAGGGACGCTGGGGGTGGGGGGCAGCGGCTGGACCCGATGCTTGAGCTGCAGCATCGCCACCAGCCTCAGACCCATCCAGATGGGGCATACACAGACAGATAGACACACACACACAGAATACACACAGAGAGGTGATGGATGTTACTGGAATGTACCATAAACCAAACAAACAAATAAAAGGAAAAACACCTAGTCAGATTCAGAGTTGACTTTCTGGCAGTCACCAGGAACCCCTGGTGGTGGCCATCTCTTTGGGAGAAAGCTCTCTTACAGAAGCGCCGAGGCAGCAGAATGGAAGGGCAGCTCCCTCCCCACCGCCCGAGCCTCTGCCCCCTCCCGGACGTTCTCATGCCAGCTTAATGAGAGCTTATGGACTGGTCTCTCGCAGCTGCAGTGAGCCTGTGGACCGCGCAGCTGGGATGGCCACAAGCAGCAAAGGAAGGGAATGGCGCCACTTACCTCTGTGGCCCCAGGCACTCCCTGGACCACGGCAGTGCCCATCTGCTCAGTATCTCAGCTTCAACAAAGTCCTGGAGGCACTGCTCATCTGAGCGGTCAGCTAATGGTGCTTCGAAGAAGCTTGCAAAGTGGTTAGTGGGAAAAGGGGAAAAAAAGCCAATTCACCTGGAGAGCAATCGTGGCGTTCTTCGCAGGGTACTTTCCCGCCAGGCCTTGTTCTTTGCGTTTCTTGAATTTCCTAAAGTAGTCCTGTATCAGGAAAGTGGCATAGAACTTCCCCACGGTTACCTCACCATCTAGACGGACAGACCAGACAGAGCTCTCCCGAGTCAGCACATGTGGACAAAAGCCTCAACACGCACACCTGGCTGAGGGGCAACGGGCGGGGACGGGCCTGAGCACCCGACCGGGGCACTGACTAGCGTGAAGCGGGCTCAGCAAAGCAGTCGGGGCTCCAAGTGAGAGTCCTTTCAGTGAACGAGCAGGAAACAGAAGATTTTTATGACGTTAACAGAGGCAGCATATTAGTAAAGACTGTGAAATGCTGTCTGGGTTATTTTCTTAAAGTAAAAAATAAAAGGGAAAACAGAAGGGGATCAGTGGGCCACATTTTCACCTCAGCACACAGGGATTTACGTGTATAATTACAAAGAACCTTGGAGGCAATTACCCACCCAAATCTCGGTGCCATAAGATGAAAGAGTCGACCACTGAGAGGTGGAGAGAAAGCTCTACAAGTGTGTTTAGGTTTGGCAAAGTGACTCTGAGGGATCCTGGCACGCGCTATAGATGCTTCCTCTCTGCCAATGACCTCCATGTCGAATGGGCAGCGAGAGCTCTGGCAAGCTCAGAAATGGAGCAGAGCCCCCCACTTAGAGAGTATGGAATCGGAACGTGGCTGGCAATGTCGTAGGCGATGCATGAGGCAGAATGGAGCCTTGGCCTACCACAGAGTAAAAGGCCTGTGCCCCAAAGGCTCAACATTGGGGGAACCTGTGAGTCAAGTGACAAAACCGGGCTTTGAACGTGAGCTGAAGGATGGGCATCGTGAGGATAAACTGTGACATGGTACTGGAGAATGGGAGCACCTACTTTTCACTGTTTTGATAGTAACACATATGATCCTAAATCTTGGGGTGGAAGTAACGGTTAGCCTCATTTTACCGATGAGGAATCTGAGTTTAAGGGACTTACTCAAGGTTGCAGAGGTATAAGCTTCAGAGGTGGGGTCTTGGTAGGGTGCATTTTATGTAGTGGGTGGTTAATAAATGTTTGTTCAATTGAACTGAATGTTTGAGTAGAAACATAAACCTTGAGCCAGATCTATGGAGAGAGATAAATCCCAGTGGGAGAGGAGCAGTATGCAGTGCAGGGATTGCTGGGAGGGGCAGCTATGTGGCGCAGTGGATAGAGCAAGGTTTATTTTTCTATTTAAACATTCAATTCAATTAAACAAACATTTATTCACCACCCACTACATAAAATGCACCATACCTGCAACCACATGGCCCAGGCTGAGGCTGGAGCTCCCTGCCTAACCGTCCGGACCCGCTCACCGACTGCTGCCCAACCCAAGGAGTCTCCCTATGAAGTGGGACAAGGCAGCAGCTCTTGGACATTTCTGAAACTAGCAGAACCAAAGCTCCCGATCTTTCCCGAGACCACTGATTGACTTCAAGAGAACTATCCAGCCTGAGCCCTGTGCTCTTTGTACAGGCTGGAATTTGACTTTACTCCTGAATTAGTCAATGCGGTCCTGGGGGCAAGAGCAGGATTAATATCCAGGCCATTGTCAGCTAGATGGTTGCTGAAGCTCTTCCAGACAGAGTGGTGCAGACTCATATTAGGGAACCAGGCTTTTCTTAATAGAATCCAGGTTCCCAAGCAGCAGAGCCATGCCTGGATCTCTGGAAAGCAGAATTCGAAAATCATTCTCTTATGTCAAAATAGACAATGTGTGTAAAGTATTTTGCAAGTTTTAAAGTGTTCTGTAAATGCTGGCTGTTACTATTTCACAGCCTTTTGACCTAGTAAGAGAAGCACAATGGTTAGCTAGACTCCAGCAGAAGTTTTTAAGAACTGAAAAACCAAAGAACTAGCAAGGCATGAGAGAAAGTTAGGAGAGACAAGCAAGGATGTGGGGAGAAGAGGGTCTGGTGGCACTCTGTTCTCTCTCTCTGGAAATCTGGCTCCATTTGGTGGCATGGTTATTTGGGTCTCTGCCATACCTTCTTTATAAGATTGTGAGCTCCCTCAGTGCAGGATTCATGCTGTATTTATCTTTGTGTCTTCCGCAGCGCCTAGATCAGTGCTCTGTACTGTCTACTGAACTGAAGCAGAGATCTGGACGTGGTAGGGAAGGAGGGAAAGAGATGAGGTTTAGATTCTAGGTCAACAGTAGAAACTTCCAGTTCCCCTTTAGGGTGAAAATGATCCAGGTCAAGGAAGAGATACAAGGCAGGAAAGGAATTTTTGATTGAGATAATTTATTTTCCCTTGTACAAAAGAATTCTGGAATTCATTTAAGATCTCATCCCTGCTTTCCTATAACAGGAAGAAATAGAAATGCACCTAAGAAAAAATAAGGAAGAGCAATTGGACTAAACCAAGTCTACCTAGAAGAGGTCTTCAATGAAGGCAAAACAATTTTGAAGGCACATGGGACCAACTCACAAAACTAAAAAACCACAGAGGGTATAACTGGAAAAAAAAACTGAGAGGATACACACACCTGTCCACTTGCCTACGTTCCCAACTCTCTAAACTCTTGAGAAAAAATGTTTCCACACCCATCAAGGGCACACTTGATGATGGAAATATCAGAAGGGATGAAGCAGGCTGCCATGAAGGATTTTCTGCAAATTTCCATCTTGACATTCACGTAAGTGACTAAAAGGTATAGTGAATATGAGAACTCACTGGGCAGAGAAGGAGGCAAAGAGAAGCTTCAGGGCCATTGAAGGACACTTCCTAAACAATCTACTTGCTCTCTTACTCCTAGTCACAGACTGCCGACTATCAAAAACCACAGGACACAGAAGAGACAAACGCATCCTGGAAGGCTCTTCTCCAACGAGGCGACTTTCTTGTAAGTGTTAAGGTCATAGACAATTCTTTGGTAAATGAAAACACAAGTATCACTTCTTCAATGATCCTTCAGTGTTCAATAGTAAGCAAAGTATCACACAGGAAGATGTGCCCTCAAAGGCAAAACTACTACTACTACTACTACTACTGCTACTACTAGTAGTAGCAATAGTTCACATTCATATATTGCCTACTTTGTGCCAGGCCCTGTGCTAAGCACTTTATAGATATTATTTCATTTGATGCTCAGTGGATCACAACAACCCTGGGAGGTAGATGCTGTTATCTCCATTTTACAAATGAGAAAACTGAGGCAGAGAGTGGTTAAGTGATTTGTCCAGAGTCACACAGCTAGTAAATGTCTGAGGCTGAATTTGAAGTTGGGTCTTCGTGACCCTAGGCCCAGTGCTCTATCTATTGCCATGAGTCCAACTGGAAGGGAATCAGATTCTGTGGAGAGTAAGGGTTCTTAACCTGGGCTCTAAGAGGTCAGTGGACAGATTTCAAGGGGTCTATAAACTTGGATGGGGAAAAAATATTACATCTTTATTTTCACTAGTCACTAAATGAAAGTTAGCATTTCCTTCAATTTTTTAAAAACCTCCTGATAAGGGCTCAATATGAATAATATTAATAACAGTAACAGCCCACATTTATGTAGCACTCTAAGTCTGCTAATCTCTGTACACATATGATCTCATTTGTTTCTCACAACCACCCTGGGAGGTAGGTGTTACTATTTTCCCCCATTTTACAGATTTGGAAACTGAGACAGACAGTAGTTAACTAACTTGCCCAGATTCACATAACTACTAAGTGTCAGAGGCTGGATTTGAACTCCAGTCTTCCTGACTCCAGGCCAAGCGCTCCATTCATTGTACTGGGCCTGGAGTCAGGAAGACCCGAATTCCAATCCGATCTCTATCCACTGTGTCCCCTAGCTGTATCTAGGCAACACAAGAAAGGTTATAGATAGATGGTGAGGCCCTCCAGATCCTCTCGTTTATATACTATTCCAAGTTCATCAAGCCCAAAGAACGACAAGACTTTTCCAATAAGATCCGCAACTACTCCGAAGGGAGATACTCCAAAATCCCTACAGGAACCGACACATGCGTGGAGAACGATGACTGGGCAGCCTGTCGGGCCCTCTGCTGAGTAACTCTGTCAGTACACCGGGCTGGAGTGGGCACAGCTGGCGAACCCTGAGGTCGGCCCAGAACTAACCAAGAGGAAGAAAGCAGTCTGGATTGAATGGGGGAAATTACTTTGGTGGCAAGGCAGTGATAGAAGCTGTGGAGTCAGGAAGACTTGGGTTGGAATCTGGCCCCGAAACCTCTGTGACTGCCAGGCCATCACTCAAGCACTCATTCAGAAAATGCAGGTCACAAGTGCACATCCTTCCTGGGCTTGTTGGAATGAGCAATGGAGCTCCGTGTATGAGCAGGAGCTTTCACTATTATTGTCACTGTTCTTCTGCTTCAAGCTTGTGATTTCATTGGTCCAGAGAAATCCCAGGAAGAAACTCCCACTCTCAGTGCAGACTGTAATTTGCTCCACAACTTGGAGTCATAGATATGTGACTTGCCCAGGGTCACACAGCTAGAGGTGTGAGGGGTGGGATGGGAACTCAGGTCTTTCTGGCACCAGGGCCTGCTCTCTCTCTACTACATGATGCTGTCACTATCATAATAAACGTGAGCTTTTATGATTATTATTGTTATTAAAATGAACCCAAGATACAAGATGTCTCCCTGACCCCAAACCCCACCTTTCTCACACCAACATTCTTCTGGTGATATTCTCATGGAACACCACAATCTTCAAGAACAAAAACAAAGTTGTGGGTACTCAAAAGGTAACAGAGATAAATAGTGGTTATAAGAAGGCCCAGGCAGTATCAATTGGTAAGCAAGCTGTGGCCACAAAGATACGCTGGAAACAAGTGATCAGAAAAGGCAGTAGGCTAGCTGTGTAGCAAGAACAAAGGATAACAGAGGGCCAGCCTCAGGCCCTCCTTGGTATGTTCAATAAATGCTCAATAAAGGACCCAGAGGAAGAACGGACTTTGGAGCGCTGGGTAGATCCTCTGTCAAGACAAGAATCACGCAGGGAAAGCTGCAATCTGCACCAATGAAGGGAGCTCCTCATTCATGAGAGGAGTAGATCATGAAAGAACGTCTGAAACGTTGGGAAGGAACCTATGAAG